GCTCCTCCAGCGCTGACTGGCGGAACGGACAGGGGCGGGTACAGCTGGCTCTGCCTCTAGATAGGCAGAGCCAGCTGTCAATCACGCAGCTGGGTGGATCTCGACAGTAATGTCGGGATCCGTCCCGGCTGCCTCAGTATATGGAAAGCTGTAGCTCCCTATATACTGAGCCTAGGGTGACGGGAGGACGCTAGTTTGTGTCCTCCCGCGTCCCTGAGGAGAACTATGGGGAAAAGCCCTAACCCCATAGTTCTCCTTTAATGCAACACAGACAGCCCTGTGATTCCAGGAGAGATGGTGAGGTGACTTTAACAGGTTATGTAACCGGGCTCATCCCCCTTTTTGTAACCAAATTTATATAAAGAGAATAAAGAGAACTCTGCCTGCTTCATACTCCCGCAGCTGCAGTGCCGAGCACATCTACACAGCGCACTGCATGTTTTATATATGTGCAGTGTGTTTTTTTTTTTATCCCTAAACCGTCGCTTTTTAAATGGACCCCCTGAAAGTCAATCACCTCGGAAAGACCGAGGACATCTTGTGGCGGAAAGAGGTACCGCAGGGGGTCAGCTCCATATCGGAAGTGGGTATTGCAGCCTGGAGTTGCAGTTTTTCGGGGGGCTTTAGCCATTCTTAACTCTATCCAAAATGAAAAAAAAAGAAACTTGGAGATTCACATTCACTTCAGGCGAGAAAAGGCACTTTGTACCGCGCCACGGATGAGTGGCCAGCTACAACAACAAGCTTGCATCATCTTCGCTGCGACTCATGTTTGGTTAAATGATAACTCCGGCGGGTCGGAGGATATTTGTAAAGCGGAATATCTGCTCGTCCTTCAGCTCCACGATGACATCCGATTCCTCCGCACTATTTGTCTTCCAGCCTTTAAACGCTCAGTTGCGGGAAGCGGCGAGGGGTTGAACAGGAAACAAAAGACGTATTCGTTGCCGGCGTTTTAACATTGAAAATGACGGATTTCTGCTATTTGAAGGTGTAATGGTAAAAAAAACAATGCTACTCAAAATTGTCCACATGCAACAGTTTGAAAGACTTTACTGCTCATCAGTTTAGAGGTAACAGTGAATTATGGACCTAGAATTATTGCTCACTCTCCAATGTTCGCAGCGATACGCAACATGTGAGGCAAAGTCATTACATACATACATGTGCTTGGAGAGGGGGGGCAACCTCGTATTATTTTATTACTTTTTTTTACCTAACTTTATTGCTAACAAGCCCCTATGTGATAGCGTTTGGAGGTGACAGGTTCTCTTTATGGAGACATCAGAGGTCTATTAGATCCCTGATGTCTCTCCTGCCCTCCAATACCAACAATCAAGCACAGTGATAGTATTTGGAGGTGACAGGTTCTCTTTATGGAGACATCAGAGGTCTATTAGATCCCTGATGTCTCTCCTGCCCTCCAATACCAACAATCAAGCACAGTGATAGTATTTGGAGGTGACAGGTTCTCTTTATGGAGACATCAGAGGTCTATTAGATCCCTGATGTCTCTCCTGCCCTCCAATACCAACAATCAAGCACAGTGATAGTATTTGGAGGTGACAGGTTCTCTTTATGGAGACATCAGAGGTCTATTAAATCCCTGATATCTCTCCTGCCCTCCAATACCAGCAATCAAGCACAGCACAGTTGCAGGCTGCTACAAGAGAGCTTGTCCATCAAAAGCGTCGCCTGCAGCAGCGGCCATGATCTTAGTATAAGCCACTTCAGGATGAGGATGCATATGTACTTCCTATGCCCATCCGGCAGTCCTCAAGGGGTTAAAGATCAATGTCTCCGGGACAGGAAGTGATGGGAGATCTAAAAATGTTACAGTGGTCACCAGAACAGGAACAGAGGGGGGAAATCTTCCAATGGGGACACTTGTCTAAGAGGGGATTTCCTTCACTATGGAGAGATTTCCTCTGACTTCCTGTTGTGTCTCTGACACAGGAAGTGAAATCTACCAACAGGTAACCCCAAACCTGACCGGGGGTTCTACCTATTCCTCGCTCTATCCAATACTAAGGGAAAAATTTGTTTTTGATAACCGTAGCCAGCTGTAGATTGCAACTGAAAGTAAACTTTAATGAATTACAAGTGTCCAGGCGGCGCGCCGCTGCGTGTTTTTCTTCAATTTGATTGAACTTTATACTTTATTAGAACCAGTACATGGCTCCTCCCACACTGGTACTCCCGCCGGACATGACTCCTCCCCTGAAGCATTTTGCTATAATTAAGACCTGATTGAGGACAACGCGCATCAGTGGGAGCGTCATGTCCAGCAGGGGAGCAGTGTAAGAGAAGCCATGCGGTGGTTCTAATAAAGTTTGTTGAAATTACAAAAAAAAAAACAGCAGGGTGCGGCCTGGACATTTGTTGGTGATTGCAGGGAGGAGGCGGATTCCTAATCAGGCCGTGGCACCAATGGCCGGTGGGCACATAATATTCTCCTGGAGCGGTACAACTTGGAAAGGATTGGAGGCAATAAACTACAAAAAGGCTTCTCTAGCTATTCAGCAAGCGGGAGTTCCCCTTTAAATGGCTGTTATTACGCATTAGCCTGCCATGCGAGTGCAGCCAGAAATGTCGCTCTCCTGCTGTGCGCGGCGCGTCCCGTAACAGGCAAAGTTCCAGCCGGAGAGCCGTTGTGTGCGTGCGTGTGTGTGCGCTCAGGAGATTGACGTGCACTTTGACCATCGAGGTAGAGATAGGCGGCACATTGACTCCCGTGTGAGCGCGGCCGTAGCCTTGTCCCGGGATCACAACAAGGCCAAGCGGAGGTGTGTACGCTTCTGGGCCCGCTGCCCTCCAATCCCCGGCGCTGTGCTACAATCAGCAAACCTCCTGCCAGGAAACAACAACAAAAAAAAAAGTGTATTTTCT